AGATCAAAAAAAAAAAAGCAGGGGATGTCGATACATTTTTGGTTTAATATTGTTTGCAATGTTGATACTCTTCCTGACGCACTTTTTTTTGGTAAGATAGTGCTTCTGTTCTGCATGCAACACACCCTCAGTCGCTATATCTTTAGTATGCAGTGTTTTTATGATTTTATTTTTCAAATGCTAACTGGCAGTGCATGGAGGAATTGGGGAAGATGGTACACTGCAGGCCTTGCTGGAGGATGAAGGAGTTTCTTATACAGGTTAGTTGCTACTTACGATGTAGCATTTGGGTTTCTTTTTAATTCTCAACATAAAATATGTCCACACGATTGTTTAATTTTCCTTCTCCGTTCTTAAATAAAGGTCCAGGCGTACTAGCATCAAGGACTTGCATGGACAAGGTTATGACATCTCAGGCTCTTAGTCATGTATGGAAACCAGTCGATATACTCTTCAAGTCGATATATTGAAACCATGAGTACTATTGTAACAATTTTCTTTTTGTTGTGTGTTTCTTGTAATCAATAGCTTTCAGAGCTTGGAATTCATACCATAAGCAAAGATGTGAGGAGAACAGAGGATATAATGCATGAGACCATCCCAAATGTTTGGGATGAATTGATCAGTAAGTTTCAGTGTCTCACACTATGTGTTAAACCAGCAAAGGATGGATGTTCCACTGGCGTTGCAAGATTATGGTAATTGTATTTAAAAGTCTTTTTCCAATCGTTACCACTAAGTTTTTTTTGGGTGTGATTAAACCTTTGGGTTTTCCTGCAGTTGCTCTGAAGACCTTGCTGTATATGTACAAGCTTTGAAAGATTGTCTACTAAGGATTCCTCCAAATACTCTTTCCAAGGTTAACAAACAAATGATTTTGTTAGTACAACCGTGAAGCATTCATTGATAAATTAGGATTATCCAAATCCCTATCTTCACTTGTGTGTGTAGACACATGGAACGATTGAGATGCCAAATCCTACTCCAGAGTTTTTGATTTTTGAACCATTTGTTGAAACCGATGAAATCATAGTTTCATCCAAAGTCAAGCAGCAGCTCTCTTGGAAAGGTAGGAGGCGGTGGGTAGAGATGACTGTGGGTGTAATCGGAAAGCGTGGGTCAATGCATTCGCTGAGTCCTAGTCTTACTGTCAAGGAAAGTGGGGATATATTGTCTCTCGAGGAGAAGTTCCAAGGTAGTCTCACTTGTCTTTCTTTGCAACTTCATGTCTTCTTTTGACTCTTTATGAGAGAATTAATTAGTCTTTATGGCATATGAAATTATATCTTGAATAGGTGGCACTGGCATAAATCTTACTCCACCTCCACCCACAATCATGAGGTTTGTCTAAAGCTTCTTTTGGGATATTATTAGTACATGGAGTAGAATAAAACATATGAAACAGAGCATTTTACTTTGTAGGAAAAGGGGCTATTTAAGCTCTTTTAAAAGCTATGCTTGTCACGGTTAGCAAATTCAGGTTTTGGTTTTCAGGTTTCTCAGTCTAAGGCAACTATAAACTAATTTGAAACTTAATGTGTTGTCAGCTTCAAAAAAGTGAGGTTCGTTTTAGTTTTGGGGTATAAAAAATCCTAAAACTAAATTAAGATTTTAATGAATTTCTTGGGTTTGGTGCGGTTTAGATCATTTTGGTTTAATGGAAAGAACAGAGAGAGTAAAGTATAAAGAAGCTGATGACTGAAGTTGTGAGATTTCAGTAAGGAAGCTTTGGAGAGATGCAAACAACGCATTGAGCTGATTGCAGAAACTCTCGGGTTAGAAGGGTTTTCACGGATCGATGCTTTTGTGCACGTTGAAACCGGAGAGGTACGATAGGGACCAAGAGAATTACTTTACATTCTACTAATGTATACTCTCATCTTACATTCCAAAATCAATTTTTGGGTTCTCACAAGGTCGTTGTGCAGGTGCTGGTTATAGAGGTAAACACAGTCCCCGGAATGACTCCTTCCACTGTTTTAATCCAACAGGTGACTTTTGCATTCCTATTTGTCCAACAGAAGTGTTGTTTAAAATTTCAATCTAATCTTTAGCATAAACACCTAATCGAAAGATTTGTACTTGGAACTCTCCTCATGATATTGACAATAACACGTTCTTTGTTTTGTTTTGGGATATTGGAAACCTTAAGGCATTAGCAGAGCAGCCGCCAATGTACCCTCCTCAATTCTTTCGCACTCTGCTCCATCTTGCTACACAGAGAGTCATTTAAGTTTATATTTGTCTTTCGTAGTTACACTATTCCCAAGTTTAATTTGAGTTTTTTTTGGTTGTAAATTCCATGTCTTCGTCATATGATCAAAGGGGAATAAAGTGGATCCCATATTTATGAGCTATGGTTTGAATTTCATTTCGGTATATTTTATAAATTGTAAATTTGCAATAGCATGCTTTTGATTAATGCTAAATTAGCAATTCTTTTTATGAGATTGTGATTCAAAGTGGAACTAAGCAATGCGAGAAAAATGAGATAAAACAATTTTAACGATTTAGTTTAGATTAGTTTGATACAAAAAGCATAAGATCAAATCTGATACATGCAACATTATCCCTATTATTATTACCAAAACAAACAGACAAATAAACGAAAATATATTCAAAATTCGAATTTAAAGCGATGTCCATTTTCAAGAGTGATGATAATTGATAAATTGGCGGGAGGTAAAACCCTGAGGTTTTAAAAAAGCGATGAGCATCGTCACCGTCCCATCATCAACATCAAAAGTCCAGCAAATCAAAACCCTAATCTCCGTCGCATCCACCTTCAATCATCTGAAACAAGTCCACGTCTCTCTCATTCACCACCATCTCCACCACGACACCTTCCTCGTCAACCTCCTCCTCAAGCGAACTCTCTTCTTCCGCCAAACCCATTACTCCTTTCTCCTCTTCTCTCATACCCAATTCCCCAACATTTTCCTCTACAATACTCTCATCAATGGCTTCGTCAACAATCATCTCTTCCATGAAACCCTCGATCTCTTCCTCTCCATCCGCAAACATGGTCTCAACCTCCATGGTTTCACCTTCCCTTTGGTTCTCAAGGCCTGCACCAGAGCCTCGAATCGCAAGCTTGGGATTGATCTTCATTCCCTTGTGGTCAAATGTGGGTTTAATCACGATGTGGCCGCTATGACGAGCCTGCTTTCTATCTACTCTGGATCCGGGCGTTTGAATGATGCCCACAAAGTGTTCGAGGAAATTCCTGAGAGAAGCGTTGTAACTTGGACGGCTTTGTTTAGTGGGTATACGACTGCCGGAAAGCACAGGGAAGCCATTGATTTGTTTAAGAAGATGGTGGAAATGGGTGTGAGACCGGATAGTTACTTTATTGTTCAGGTTTTATCTGCTTGTGTTCATGTAGGGGATCTTGACAGCGGGGAGTGGATAGTTAAGCATATGGAAGAGATGGAGATGCAGAAGAATTCCTTTGTGCGCACAACACTTGTCAATCTCTATGCCAAGTGTGGGAAGATGGAGAAAGCCCGTTCTGTGTTCGACTCGATGGGGGAGAAAGATATAGTTACTTGGAGCACTATGATACAAGGGTATGCATCGAACAGCTTCCCGAAAGAAGGAATAGAGTTCTTTCTTCAGATGTTGCAAGAAAATCTGAAACCGGACCAGTTTTCCATTGTCGGGTTTCTTTCTTCTTGTGCAAGCTTAGGAGCGCTTGATCTAGGTGAATGGGGAATTAGTTTAATAGATAGGCATGAGTTCTTGACCAATCTGTTTATGGCCAATGCGCTGATAGACATGTATGCGAAATGTGGGGCTATGGCTCGAGGTTTTGAAGTATTCAAAGAAATGAAGGAGAAAGATATAGTTATCATGAATGCTGCAATTTCTGGTCTGGCCAAGAATGGCCACGTTAAGCTCTCATTTGCGGTTTTTGGACAAACAGAGAAGTTAGGTATCTCCCCTGATGGGTCCACGTTCCTTGGACTGCTCTGTGGGTGCGTTCACGCAGGCCTAATCCAAGACGGGCTTCGGTTTTTTAACGCCATAAGCTGTGTTTACGCTTTGAAACGCACGGTTGAGCACTATGGTTGCATGGTAGATCTTTGGGGCAGAGCAGGAATGTTAGATGACGCATACCGTTTGATCTGCGATATGCCCATGAGGCCAAATGCGATAGTCTGGGGAGCGTTACTGAGCGGATGCAGACTGGTCAAAGATACGCAGTTAGCAGAAACTGTTCTCAAAGAACTCATCGCTTTGGAGCCATGGAATGCAGGAAACTATGTTCAGTTATCCAACATATACTCTGTCAGTGGCAGATGGGACGAAGCGGCTGAAGTGAGGGACATGATGAACAGGAAAGGTATGAAGAAGATCCCGGGATATAGTTGGATCGAGTTGGAAGGGACGGTCCATGAGTTTCTAGCAGATGATAAATCGCATCCTCTTAGCGACAAGATATATGCAAAGCTAGAAGATTTGGGTAATGAAATGAGGCTTATGGGGTTTGTTCCAACGACAGAGTTTGTTTTCTTCGATGTTGAAGATGAAGAAAAAGAAAGGGTCTTGGGGCATCACAGCGAGAAGCTTGCGGTTGCGTTTGGGCTGATCAGTACGGATCATGGCCAAGTGATTCGGGTGGTGAAGAATCTAAGGGTATGTGGAGATTGTCATGAAGTGATGAAGTTGATATCGAAGATCACAAGACGAGAGATCGTTGTTAGAGACAACAATAGGTTTCATTGTTTTACAAATGGCTCTTGTTCTTGCAATGACTACTGGTGAGCTCACTATGGTAAAAAAACAGCAGAAAGTAATTTGTATTTTATATAATTTTTTTTAAAGAAAAAACTGCGGTGAAAACGTAATTTGTAGCTTTGACATTTTTGGAGTTGATGGTTTTTAAGAAAAGTTGGCAGAGACTGGATATAGATTTAATTCCGGTTTCTAGGAGTAGTACATAACTCAATACTATAAGTCTATAAGAAGTAGACTTTGTGGAACTGAAGACAAATATCAAACATGTATGATCAAAATCTTGCAAATATAGTAACGGCCCAAAAAGCCCAACTATTTTTACTATAAATAGTAACATTGCCGCCGGAACACAAATATATCCGCAAATCCCTAAATTATTATATTCCCTGGTTGATCAACGGCGATTTCATCCTCGTTAATGTCTTACCCGGAAAGAAAGAGGAAGAAGACACGGTGGTCAACGCCGCATTCGACTCCAAACCCGTCACTTCCCGATGATTTGCTATTGAGCATCTTCGCACGCGTGTCAAGATTATACTATCCTACTCTCTCACTCGTATCCAAGAGCTTATTTGCTATTGAGCATCTTCGCACGCGTGTCAAGATTATACTATCCTACTCTCTCACTCGTATCCAAGAGCTTTCGATCTCTCCTAGCTTCACCAGAGCTTTACAAGGCCAGGTCACTCTCGGCAAACACCGAGAGTTGTCTCTATGTATGCTTACGGTGCTGTTCTGGTTATCGCTGGTTCACCCTCTGCCGTAAACCTGATCAAACCATAACCAATAATAAGGAGAGGAAGTCAAGTGGTTATGCTTTGGCTAGAGTCCCAATTCCCGGTGGTTCTCCTAATGTACGATCTTCGAGTCTCGTGGCCGTTGGTTCTGATATCTACAACATTTGCGGATCCATCAACAAAGCGTCCCCCTCCTCTAGCGTCTCGATTCTGGATTGCCGGTCTCACAAGTGGCGAGAGGCTCCAAGCTTGCCGGTGGAGCTATGTTCAGTTTCTGCTAGCGTCCTTGATCAAAAGATATATGTAGCAGGATGCTACAACCAAGTTCAAGGTAATGGCTATCCTGATTCCCGGAAAAACTCCTTTGAGGTGTTAGACACAAAAACACAAATTTGGGAGACTAAGCCCGTCCCTTGCTGCAGCGGGAGGATATACAATTTTTTTAACTCCAAAAGCACTTGTATTGATGGAAAGTTCTACGTGGTGACTGAAGATAGAGGAAGTGAGGTTGCTTACAATTCCAAGGAAGGTAGATGGGATTCCAAGGAACTTGGGATGGGTGGTTTTATGTTTTCAGATTCTTATTGCGAGATAGATAACGTTTTGTACTCTTTATCCGATGGAGCGTTCAGATGGTATGACACTGAGGTAAGAGAGTGGAAAGATTTGAATGGTTTGTTTCAGCTGCCTAAGTTCTCTGCTAGTGCTTGTGTTAGATTGGCTGATTATGGTGGAAAGATGGCGGTCTTGTGGGACCAATTGCCTTATCATTATGGCTATCAAAAGGAGATTCATTGTGCGGTGGTTGAAAGGCCCACAAGATATGAAATGTGGGGGAAAAGTTGTGAAATTTGGGGGAAAGTTGAGTGGTGTGATCTTATGCTTACAGTCCCTACATCGTATGTTCTTGTTAAGGTTCTTGCTGCTACGCTTTGATGAATGCGTCACAAAGCTTCAAGAGTGACTTTGTCTCTTGTTTCACTTCTAATTATCTGATGTCACTTGTTACTTGTTAAGCTTATTTTGTGACCAAAACGTTTTTGAAGCACGTTTTGTGTTGAAATGTTGGAAGCTAAAGTGGTTGCATAAGAGATTTACCACTTCTCGTAGCTGCTAGTGTGAGTTAGTTCATGAATTGTTAAGTAAGAGTGCTTCTCTGATGGATTTGAAACTAAACGCTCAAATTGTTGGCTAAATAATCCACAGTATTTCAGTCTTATGGCAAACCACCACTCAGATATATTCTCAGATTTTTATTGATTCACTGTTATTTAAAATTGTACAAACTTGTGTATATTGATAAGGTCACAACAAAATATCGACCATATTCATATCCCCATCTGATTTTATGGTTCTTTTTTTCTCTTAAAAGCTGTAAATTGGTTACTAGCATTGGCCTTTTGATGCAGTTTTGCAAAATTTTGTCTCAATGAGTAAGCTACAAAGGTAGTAACACTCAAAATCTTCTTCCAAGTCTGATTTGCCATTTGCTGGTTATGCGGGAACACACGAATCTATGTTCGGCAGCATCCCATGTCAACCCTCTTAGTCCTTAAGCCACAATTAGCAGCTCTTTTAAAGCCATGACGAGTTTTCTCTGCAGACTCATTAATGTGAAGAATATCTCACAGTACAGTTACTAGAGATCTTAGGTTCTTGAAACAAGAGAAAGGTGAACTTCTCTTTCCTTACACAGATAGGCCACTGGATGCTTGGGACCATGACGCTGTTTTCTGTAACTAATGTCTTCAAACAGACACTCTATGCCTATTGAAACCCGCAATGTGAACACAACAGCCCTCGGGGTCATGTACGTTACTGCAGTAAACATGAACCTCTTCTCTCTCCCATCTCCATTGTAGAGGTTTGGATCCAAGTACACAAACTGGCAAGTTTCATCGCTTCTAGATATTCTCAGCCACAAACAGGTATCTCTTGGCACATTAAGCAGCATGATCTCACACGGTATAGCCACCGGGAGACCAGGCACAAAGGAAATCGGACTGTAAGGACCATTACCAGGAATCTCTAGCTCTGCGCTGACACACTGCAGATTACCAGAAAGCGTAAACTGTTCTGGAGAGAAGCAATTGAATATCTTGATGAGATGAAGCAGTCTACAGCTATTTATATCATCAGAGCTCCCAATCTCTTTCAATGACTTCTTAGTTTCGGTTAAAAATTCTGATGGTTTGGTGCATTGTTGTTCATGGTGGAGCTCTAATTGAGATATTGTTGAAGATAGCTTCTCCGTGCAGCTAAGGCGGCAGCAAATTTCAAATTTATATAGCCTTAACAAGCAACCAAAAATTACTAACTCTATTACTAATGACTCCTCCGTAGACAGGCCTGTGAATCTACACCTTATCTCCATTAGTTTTATCTCTATCTCTTTCATCAGTAGTTCCAGTTCTACAGATCTACACGTGCTGATGTGTCTTGCGTATTCAAAATGAGGCCATACTTGAGCGAGAAGTTCTATTACGTGAACATACTGACAGATAAATTCTAATGTACCGTTGGAGATTGAAGAATCGGCTGTCAAAGTTGCTAACTCCTGTTTGCAAGCCCTGCACAAGATGACAAGAAGCACTTTAGTTAGAGTACACATGAAAAAGTAATACAGAGGCTGGAAAATTAATAGATTGTAAGCTATAAAACCTCAATGCTCGGAGTGCTTCTTTCGAGCACCCTGATTGTGATAACAACCAGGCAGCCTTTATTTTCAACAGTATATGGTTAAGAAACTTAAGTGCTTGATTTCCAATTTCCAGTTCTGCTTTGGAAGCCATGTATTTGCTCTCAGCAGGTATATCTTTGCTGGGTAATAGGACGGGGTTTCCGGAAAGATCTGCATTACTGTCCCTATATGCCTGAAAAAATATATCTCCTTTGTTGAATTCTGTCCCCGAAGAAGACGAAAGAATAGCGCAATGAGTCAAGTAAGCCAGAAGCATATACTGGTCCATCATATCATGAAGTCCACTAGAGAATTTCCCCAGCATTGCAAGTGAATATGAAAATGCCAGAGGTGGTATCGAAGTGATGCTTTGTTTGTTTGAGAGAGGGGCTGAGATTATCAGCATCAGAGAAGCAGATAACTGTCGGCTATTGAATTCCAGTTTATTTCCGGAAGCTGTCCCTAACTGAAGAGCATGCAAGAGTAAGCGAAGAAATGATTAGTATGCCTATAGTTGACGAACCCTGAAAAAGAGTGAAAAAAAATGCTCGCTTACCTTTTCACTAAATCTCTTGACCATACTGACTAAGAAATTTGGGTGTTTTTGTCCGAAATGGAACAGAGCAGACAAGATAGCAGGTTCGTCCTAGGATGAAACAGCAAGAAATTTGAGGTTCACAAAAAGAAAAAGGACGAAATGATGAAATCAGAAGCTAATTGAACTGTATAGGTAAGTGTGCCAACCTGTGGATACATCTCTAAACTTTTTAGGACACCATCAACACAATTGTTGACCAGCTTCAGATCAGGCAGCTTTGCCAATTTAAGAATGTTTCTAGCCTCAACTCTAATGTTTTCAGAAGTATCAACAATAGCATCCAAAAACTGCAAAGTCAAGTAGCAGCTCTTTATTACAACTCATAGGAAAGAAATAGCCAAATAGAACAAGGTGACAATCATGAAGTCCACAGCAGCGAGGTTAATTTAGTAGCAAATCACTTAATGTCCTATTAAGCATTAGGCCCTAGAGAGCAACCAATTCTGAAGCTACTTCAGTGGGCCTAAACCAATAGGAGGTGATATGCATAAAATCTGAATTACTCGAGACAAGACACCAAACTTATAAAGTATAGCATCTTCATTCTCATTAGCTTTTTACTTAACCAGTACTATAGCAAGAAAAAAGGGTAAAAGAATATGGTAACTTACGGCGGGCATATAAGTTTCCTGTATCTTCAGGTTCCCCAAGTCTGCTATATGATGCAATGCCTCTAAAGCTTTCAACCTGACAACCATATAATCATCGTACAGCATATCCATCAATAGATACACAGCTTCATCTGGGAATTTGATAGAATTTACTGAGAGGGAGTGGAAGGAGTTAACCGCAGCTTCCCGTACCTTCAAAATGATGCATGCAAATGCTGTATATATAAGTCCAGAAACAATAAAAACTCAACTAAACTTTTTTCTACAACACCTACTTAAAAGATTTGCATATAAAAGAATCATGCTGCACAGACAAAATGAGAAAAGGAAACTTATCATAAGAGTACCTGGTAGAATTCATCTTCAAAACCATGGATGAAAACTCCAGCTGCAGCACTGACATCAGCTGATCCATTAGAAAGGTGATTCTGCGGTTTCTTCCCTTTTCCGGCTCCCAATACTTTTTTAGAAAGTGTTTGCAGTATAATGCTTTCTGATGCAGTTCCTATAATCCCAAATGCCTTGAAGACCTCAACCCTCACGTCTACACTCATATCTCTCACAACAGAACAAAGCTGAAAGCAAGTTTATAAGAAAACATCAGACATTTGGTTATTGAAGTTCCAAACACGAAATTGATAATCGCTATTTTACCTGGAGAAAAGCAGCATCTGTACAATCTCTTCTGCTCAGCTCTTCTTCCTTGGATGATATCATCACGTTGCCCCACACACTGACCTGAACATTCAAAAAGTTTCCAACCCAACAATTATATATGATTGGATCTTTATTCTTAAGCTCATAACAATTCTTTCAACCGTAATTTCACCAATCAGAAAAAAAAAACTTACGGCACGAACTGCAGAAGATCTGACGCTATCTTCAGCATCGCTTAGAAGCTCAACAGCACGAGTATAGCAACCTTCTACGGCATGAGCGTGATTAAAGTCACCAGCGTTACATATATTAATCAATCCATCCAGAGCTATTTTTCTGATAAATGGATACGGATCCTTGGTAAACCCTAAAAACAAGGTGAAAAGTACCGACGACGGGACATTGAACCTCTCCGCGTTCCTAAGTAGCCACAGTCGAGAAGATATAGGTGCTCCGAGGCATATCGACGCAAATACCTCGCCGTCGATTTTGGAAAGCGCGGCGGCGATGCTAGGATTTGTTTCGGATAATGACGCAAGCACAGCAAGCGATTCCACGGCGGCGCGTCCGTGGCTCACCTCGGCGGTGCCGTTTTGAAGGCGGAGTAAGTTGGACAGGATTGAGTCGAAGATTTGTTTTGCTAATTCCTTTCGCCGGAAAGCTAGGTCGGAGAGTAGCTTGAGGACATGGTGAAGAATCGCCGAGTCTCCTCGACTCAGAAGACCAGTAAGGAAATCGAAAACTGAGGAAATCACCGAGACGGAAGTGTCGGCGTTGATAATGAGTGATCTAATAGAAGCTAGAGTGTCGAGAGAGATTGATTCAGCAGAGATCGAGTCGTCTTCCTCCATTGATGAAGTCATGAAGAAGAAGAAGTGAGAATCTCTCAACTGTTATTACTTGGTGACAAAAAAGATTAATAGTTTGATATTTATTTTAAAAACATTTGGTGTTCTTTATCAAAGTCAACATTAAATATTGAGACAAAAAAATAAAGTCAACATTTTTAAAATCTCTAATTTGGAAAAAAGTGTGGATTTTACATACTACCGGCTCGTCCTGAAGTGGGTTTCTTGAACTTGGAGAGCTCAACAAGATCACCAAACAACTTGTCTTCTGGTTTCTTATTCATTGGTGGAGGCTGATGAGAAGAAACTTGGTAGGGATTAGTGTTGTTGTTTCCATTCTCTTGAAGAGACATTCCGTACATTTGTTGTTCTACAAGATACTGTTGTGGTGGCTGAGCATGTCCTCCATAGCCTCCGTACATAATGGGATTGTAATTGTTGTTTGTGACGTTTGGGTTGTGGCCAAAGGGTGGCATATGGCCTCCTGCTATTGGAGGGAGGAACATTCCGAACAAGTTATTGTTGTTGTTCGTAGCATGAGGAGAGCCGCCTTGAGGGTTGTAACCGAGGGGTTGATGAGTGTGTGTGGTGATGACCACTTGAGTCACTTGCATTGGATGAGTTGGAGAGTATTGAGGGCTAGAGCTTGGAGATTGAGCTTCCCATGGTGGTGGAGGTAATGCTAGAACGTTGTTGTTTTGTCCACCTTATAGAC